GAAGTGGCCAAGGGCTCAGCTGTACCCTCCCAAGCACACATACGTGGTGCTGGTACCTGCAGAGCATCAGGGTGCAGTGACCAACTCGGCGACCCCGACAGAAGACAGACACAACATAGAAACCATCGTACATACATCCTGCAAATCCCCAGGGGCAGAGGTTTAGCGGCAAAATAAATCAGTGATTTCCATTTATTGATAGAAGGATCAAAAGAGACTTCTCTCCAGACCAGCACTGCATGTACAGCGTTAACCAGAAAACTTCCAACAGTTGAGAGAAACCCCAATTTAGGTTCCAATCACCACCAAAAGCACCATGCTTCCTACTCCCAAAATTGCAGTCCCGGCTACTTTTGTCATCTTTCCCCCAAGAGAAGGTCTGTACCACTCCTCGGAGTTTGCCAAGGTTAGAAACTGCTGATCATCACTCAGGGCGCTCAGAAGACGTAACGCACAAACGAGACTTGTATGCAGCATTTAAGGCATTTTTAAGCACCACTTGAGGCAAAAGATCACCAGCAGATCAAATAAACTATCAGCCGTTCAAGTCAGAAAAGAAAAAGAGGGACTTAACTGAAATTTATCAGCAATTTTGGGGAGATTAAACGAAAGTTTTAGACATTACAGTAGCCTGAACGCGACAGCAGCTGGGAGCTTGCCTCAAGTTCTTCTTATCAGGCATCTTCTCAGATAAATAACCACGCAGCCACCTCTGCTGCGCTCGCTCCTGCTGCAAAGAACCTCATCTATTTTTCATACTCCTAGCGCTTTCTGGACGGCACTGCAAGATCTGCAAGAGTTGCATTTTAACCTCTGCTAGGGGCTACTCAAGGACAGAAGCGGCTTACGAACCCCTCGCTGTGTAAAAAAATGCAGTATTAAATTTCTGTAGCCCAAACCGTGAAGCTATTTACTGAAGCTTTATACAAACTAATTAAATATAAGGCTCTCGTGGGACACGAGGAGAAAGAAAAGAATTAAGAGATAAATCACTGGCTTTTCTCTCCTCAGCAAATGTACACTCCAATTTAATATATTAAGGCAAAAAACAGTCTGACAGTCCTTGGTCTGGCACAGATAGGCAGCATCCAAATCTTGCATGGAACACACTGCACAGCATAAATTAATTATCTCTGCTTTACCGCAACTTGCACAAAGGAATTGGGAGAGACAATCCAGACAAGGGAATGAGCTTGAGATATCAAAGGCTCCATATGGAGACCACAGAATCTCACTTTCCAGCTTCACAGAACTCATAATCTTTGCGAGCACATGGTACAGAAACGTATCAAAGCAGCACTTCCCTCCCCTGCTGACCCCGTGTCATCTTGTCAGGAGAATTCCTACCGCATGACACGCAGCCATTGCAGAGTTCCCTCAAAGACAGAGGCGCTCCCAAGCCCTGCAAGAAGAGCCCGCAAACACTGGCAACCTCTCCTCACCGACAGCGTGAAACGTTCCGTGCAGATGGCACAGCCACAACCACACCAACACAGACCTGGCATCCTCTAACGGCCGAGGACTCCAGGGCCGTTGTGGAGGGAAGCCATCCTGCTGGGCACCTCAGCAGGTTAACTCCCTTCTGCAGGGGACAGCGTCTCCAGATGCTGGAGACCATGGGATTCCTGGACAATTCAGGCTGGGAGGGAGCTCCGGAGGTCATCCAGCCCAATCTCTGGTGGTCAGCTATAAGGTCAGACCAACTAACTCAAGGTTGTATCCAGCCTGGTTCCAGCAACCTCCAAGGATGGATGTCCTGCACCAGCACCCACAGACTGCAAAGCTGCAGAAGTAATTGGGAAGAAACCCACGTTCCCTCCACGTCCTGACCACTGCACGGTACGTTTGACATGTCAGAGGTCAACAGTCCTTTCATCCTAACGTCAATCTCCTGTCATCAGCTGCATGCACAAACCATGGGAAGAGCTCACTCCAACCCAAAAGAAGGAAATAACCAGCTGCTGGAAGAAGATGACGAATACCTATAGCTCACGGCCACGAGAGAACAAAGGGTTTCACTCATCAACACCCCATCACCCCTACACACCTTTTACAAGAAAAACTACCGAGTTCATTGAGCAACAGAAAACAGAACTAATTGCAGAACAATGATCTATTAACCATAACCAAACTAGTCTTTAAATAGTTTTTAATTAACAATTTAAGATTATTAATTTTTTAAACAAAGCTCAATCATTCTGTTAGTAATAAAGTGTGTAAGTACTTGTGGATTAACGGTTACAAATGAAGCCTCTAAACACGGTTTCCAACGCACAGCCAGAACGGAGCCTAGAAAAAAAATGCAGTTTCTAAATGCCAGTAAAAAATACCAGTTTTCTCATCTGAGGAACAGATGACACCTTACAATTTATGCAGCCTGCCAGCACCTGATTCATCTCACTCCCACAGCGACTGCTTCATGGCATCGCTTCACAACACAAGAGAAGACACCAACCACTCCACTATCAGAGTTAACACCATTTCTACGCTGTTCCTGCAGTTGAAGTCGGAATTTGATTGGGACACCAACATTTTTATGCAAGGAACCTGGTATGTTTAGTGACCAGGGAGCACCAGACTTTTGGATTTCAGTGTGTCTTTAGCACCATCTCATCTTCCCGCTGTTGTAGAGACCAGCACATCTCTGGAATTAGAGGCAAGAGGTCTTACCGCTCACGAGTTTTCCTATAAAGCCAAATCCCCATCCAACTCAGAACCAAGGTATCCACAAGATGTAGAATGAGTTCCATGAAATTTTAAAAAGAGCTTGTAACGCCCAAGTCTCCTCCCAAACTTGCTACCTAAGGGCAGAGGAATGAGGATCCCCATTGTCAAAGCAGCTCACGAAGGGCTGAAGCCAGATGGAGAAGGGAAGCTCCCTGCTGTTCTTTGACCCAAATGAGGTGATGGAAGAGGACCGTTACCGTACTGCCATGTGCACTTTTGAGCTGTTTGGTCCATCTACACCCCCCTCTCAGGGGAAGGGCAGCAGATGGGTTAGTACCTTCCATCAGCCATTTCTGGGGCAGTTTCCTGGTATCCAACACAAGGTTTCCCCAGCATGACACAACCACCGCAACATCCTCCCAATCCCTCGTGGCAGGCGTGTGCCTCAGAGTCCCCTGCGCCGGGAAAGCTGGACTGCCAGAGGGACGAACAGCCCGGGACAAACTCATAGCTGCCCTCGCCACTAATTCAGGAAGGAAACCCCCTTCTCCCAGCTCCTCGTGATCCATTCACACAATTCCGCTGCTCTTAACCTCACATATTTACACTAGGAATGTTTTATGAGGTAAAAAGCAAAAATACGTCTATGCCATGACAACAATTCAGGTTTGGGACCACATTTCCAGGCTGAACTGACAGGTCTCCGCATAAGCGCCTCAAGAGAGGAACTGAGTTTCGGCAGTAACGGTCTCTGCACCCAGGGAAGGCTCATTTCAAATTTTACCCATCTCTTTGGTCTCTTTTTATTGAAAAGGAAGGGAAAGATTTCTTTCCTAATGCATGAATAAGAGAGGTGAGGAGATGCGCTGTACTAATTCTAAAGCCTTATTTCTTATTGTCGCATCCAATTCACAAATATTGTGACTGCAAGCTCGTATCTATCACGCACTTCTTGATGGGCTAAATAATGAAAGAACATATAAGCCTCTAATTTTATGCTGACTTCAATTCCCATTTCCAAAGACAGCTCGAAAACAGGAATAGAAACTAAACCAGAAAAAAGCGCAGCACGCTCTTCTCCCTTTTTAACTGTAATCGAAAATTAAAAAAAAAAAATTAAAATAAACCCCTGCCCAGCTTTATATTTGCTCAGACAAAGCATTTTTACCATGAACACCAGAACTACTTGTAGGTACAGCGCTAAGACCAGCGTAAGACCCGCATCTTGTAAGACAACGTGCTGTAATGATTTGTGACCAGTGAGCAGCCCCCCCTTTCTCCCCCCCGGTAGGAAAAATAACTAAGTACATAATTGCAAAACAATATTTTAATTGTCAGTTTTAATTTAGTTTCCTACTCCGCTTTAAATCACTGGTTTTTAAACCGCATTGATTTAACTCAATCAAGCCTGCCCGAAGGCCATCTTTCCTGCATGCTACGAGCATACCAAGCAAGTTTTCACCCATTAGATAAATTGCCAAATCTCGTAACTTCCTAACAGCGATAGATCAAGCCATCATTATTTTTTTAAATATGCGTCATCTTGAAAACTTTGCCAAAATAAGAAGCTAAGGAGACATTTCACCATCCTTTTTTTTTTTAACCCAGAGCACATGATAGCCTGAAAGCCAGCCAACTGGATTCTGCAGAAGACTTGTACTGCAAATATGCCTCTGACTCCTAATTGCCTTCCTCAGGATGATGGGAAAACACTGATGCATTCGGTTTATCCATGTATATAAGCATGCATACATGTGTGTGTGTGCATATGCACACAGCCCAACCTTAAGGTGTTATACTCAAGAGCACAGTAAGAAAAAGCAGGCAGTGATATTACGGACTCACCAAGAGCAAAATCCTGGATAATGGAACTTTCTAGCACAAACAGCTTTACAGGGACCCTCAGCCCACTCCCTGTTATTGCCAGGGGAAATATGCTCTTCTGACACTACACAGATATTTAAAAGATTCCTATGATAGGAGGAGGATTAAAAAGCAATTAACTGGCTCTCCTATTCCAAATGCAAAGCCGTATTTTAGAAGAGCAGACAGAAAAATATGGATCTCGCAGAACTCAAGGATTTATCATATTCCGTAAAAAAGCCTTTACCGTGATGCCTTAAACCAGCAATACCATAGCAGAACCTACCCCGTGGGGATGAGAAAAAAAGCACTGCAAACCCGATCCAGCATTGTATTATGAAAAAACCCTGCAAATTCCAGGCAATCTGCAAATTATTTCCCCCTTCCCCACCCAAACGTCTACTGCGAACTCCTAAAATTGCAAGTCAGGACTGCAATAGCGACAGTGACGAAAATAAAACCCTTCCTACCTTTAACTTGAGTGTCGTATTCAGCTATGATCTCCTTATCCTTTTTGAATTTTGCTGGCGACGTCATGTTTTCTTTTCCCAAAAAAAAAAAAAAAAAAAAATTAGCCTCCAAACGGATCCACCGGAACACAAGCTAGAAATGCAATTTTGCTCCTCTCAATGCAATGCCTTGATTTTCCGCTTCTCCTCCCCCCACAAAAAGGGAAAAGAAAAAAAAAATCAGTCCATGGAGAGAGGGTGTGAGACGGGGCGCAGCAGCAGCAAAATGCAGATGTGGAGAGCTCAGCGGATGGAAGAGGCAGCAGTTTTGTCTCCCTGCACCAAAACCTTTAGCAGCAGCATCAGACTAACGAGATCCTGCAGCCCCCAAAGGCTCTTCCTGATCGCTAACGTTAACAGCACAGCCAGGGAGTGGAAGTCCTTCCGCACAACATGTTTTGTGTGGGCTTGGTTTGCCTTTTTTTTTTTTAACGAGCTGAGAGATGATACAAATCGAATCCCAAACCAGAGGAGAAACGGAGGACAAGAAGCCGGGATTTTTTTGTTTGCTTGCCTGCAAATGGAAAAAAAATATATATATATATTTAGAAAATTACAGCTTGCAGCCAGCAGTCACAAGACACGCAGCCAAAATTTGTGATTGAAAGAAAAGCTGCGCTGACATTGCAAATTGTCCTTTAAGCAGCAGCAGCACGAGGTTAGAAATGCAGACCGGCCAGGTAACCGAGGGAAAACGCCTCCACGGCAGCCAGCCCCGAGGAGGGCGGGA